TGCAGTTTCCATTGCATTTGAGACAACCAGAAAAATATAACTTTTAGAAAAAACTAAGTTTTCTCCCATTCATATCTAACCATGGGAGGTTTTAGACTTCTGGGCTTGCTTAGATCTGTGCTGTATTAATATGGTAGCCACTAGCCATCCATATGTGGCTAATGAGCATTTGAAATGTGACTAGTCTGAATTGAGATGTGTTGTAACTGTAAAATACACCTTGGATTTTAAAGACTTAAAGATTTCAAAGACCGTAAAAAAGGATGTAAACTAACTTTTTCCTGCTAATTATATGGTGAAGTTACAATATTTAGGATATATTTGGGTTAAATAAATTACTAAGTAATTTCACCTGTGTCTTTACTTTTTTAATGTGACTACTGGAAATTTTTCAAATTATACATGAAGCTAACATATTTCTGTTGGACAGCACCAGGATGGAAAACAGGCAGTATTCCTTAAGCTTCCTTCTAGAAGTGAGTGCTTTAAAGAGCAGTAAATATGAAAAAGATTATCAGTGTCAGTATTCAGTCTTCCTTCAAGCCAGGAACAGTTTTCCCATCTACCCTCAGATGGTACTGGGATGGTATTTGACTATTAGAATATTTCCATTAATTCAAAACTTTGGGTAACTAGGTGAATGTCTCTATCAGTCACTCACTAGATCAAGGCATTTTTTTCTAATGCAAGTCTCATGCATTCAGTGCAGTTATCCTTCCAACATCTCTCTCTAAAATCAGACTTATTTTTAAGTCCTGCTTTTTCCACCAGGGCTTTTGTCAAATTGCCAAAGCAACAGCATAACCAATGTGGCTATTCTTGCATGGAATCAGAGAAAATACCGAAGAAATGGGAATTATATGAGTTAAAAGAAATAACATGTCGGGCTCGGTGCTCAGCCTGTAATCCTGCGCTTTGGGAGGCTGAGGTGAGTGGATTGCCTGAGCCCGCAGGTTCAAGACCCACCTGGGCAACTTGGCGAGACCTCTTCTCTACAATAAATAAAAAAAAAATTAGCCGGGCGTGGTAGTGCGCACCTGTAGTTCCAGCTACTTGGAAGGCTGAGGCGGAAGGATCACCAGAGCCCAGCAGGTAGAGGCTGCGGTAGCCGGCAGCGGCCACTGCACTCCAGTCGGGGTGACAGAGTGAGACTACAACTCAAAAAAAAAAAAAAGCAAGCAAGAAATAACATCAAATCTAGGAATTTTAAGACCAAAGGACCACTGTATTCGAATAATAAATTATAGTTATCGCTTATGCAAAACTTAAGTGATAACTATTGACGCTCTATCTTGAATCATGAGTTTGGGCTCCTTTTGTTTTCCACAAAGCACCAGGCCTAGTGTTGACCTCATAGATAATACATACAAAGAAAATTATAGTGTACAGTCTCCATGCTAATAAAGGTGGATTGTTTTTATTATGGCAGAGATCCTAGAGATACACCATCATTTCATCCTTTTCAAATAAGTCATTTTCCCATTACCTTTTAAATGCTTTATAGTATTTTATCTTTGATGAGATTAGATTTTTTTTTTTTTCTTTTGAGTTGGAGTCTCACTCAGTCGCCCAGACTGGAGTGCAGTGGCCACTCCCGGTCACCTCAGCCTCAACCTGCTGGGCTCCGGCGATCCTTCCACCTCAGCCTTCCGAGTAGCTGGAACTACAGGTGCACGCTACCACGCTGGCTAATTTTTTTTTTTTAATTGTAGAGCTGAGGTCTTGCCTGCCCAGGTGGGTCTTGAACCTCCGGGCTCAGGCAAGAGATTAGAATTTTTGAGTGTAATTTTTTAGAATTAAATATTGGGGGAATATTTTTGAGAAGTTGGCGAACATTTCTGAATTTCTTTGTGTGCCAAAAGAAAACTACTATAAATAATTTTTTATAGAACCACTCAAGCATGCACTTAATGTATCAAAGTCAGCCTGTACCAAAAGAACATAATGTTCTTAACAAATAAAGGGGAAATCAGTGGCAGAGCATCACTTGACTCTGCTCTCAGCAATTTTTCTAATACAGGTGTGCCCTGCTTTAAGAAAACCCAATAACTGGGTTCATTTATATGCATTATAGAAAAATCTGGGCATTATAAATCAGATTTGATACACAAGTAACCTTTTAGCTACATCCCCCCACCTCAAAAACTGCTAAGAGGTCTAAACCTATATTTTGCTCCAGATCCAATGTTTTTATCTTGAGAAGGAAGATCTCAGTGATTGAATTCACAAGGATATGGCCTCAGGCCTAAAAGTCAGGTTGTAGTTTCCATTGCATTTGAGACAACCAGAAAACTAAATACAACTTGTAGAAGAAACTTAAGTTTTCTCTCATTCACATTTCAGCCAGGGGAGGGGACTCACTTTTAGAATTGTTTAGATCTGTGCTGTCCAACATGGTAGCCACTAGCCAAATGTAAAGTGTATTTGCAATTATGATTAATTTCTATTAGACCTCCATTCTTTCCAACTCTCTCCCCAATAACAGAGTGGGATTAGGGTTATAGTTTTTGTCTATTAAACATATTATTTTTCTATGTAAAGCTAACTGACAAATATGGTGATCAAATCTGTAACTGTCCTAAGTAGTACTATTTTCTCTTTACTGATTCAGAATTTATCTACCAGACTGGGTACAAATAAGTTCAAAGAGACAGCATATTATTTAAGACATTTCATTAAAAAACACTCATATATAAAAATACAATCAAGGCCAGGCTCGGTGACTCAGCCTGTAATCACAGCACTTTGGGAGGCCGAGGTGAGTGGACTGCCTGAGTCTGCAGGTTCGAGACCAGCCCGGGAAACTTGGCAAGACCTTGTCTCTACAATAAATAAAAATTAGCTGGACATGGTAGTGCGTGCCTGTAGTTCTGGCTACTTGGAAGGCTGAGGTGGAAGGATCACCGGAACTCAGCAGGTCAACACTGGGGTGGCTGTGAGCATGCCACTGTACTCCAGCCTGGGCAACTGAGACTCCAACTCAAAAAAATAAAATAAAATAAAAATACAACCAAGAGTATCAATCTGGTTTAAAAAGCAATGTTAAAACAAACAATGGAATGCATTCTCTGACATATTTATTGGATACTTTGATACACGAATATAAGTGAAGATGATAAATACAATAGAAAAAATATACTGGTGCTGGGGCAAGATGACATAAAATGTACAGTCATTTTCAAAGAGATACTGTTTATCATTGTATTCACACTGAATATGATTTGAGCTATAGTTATTGCTCAAGAACACATATTACGATGTTTGATAAGAGGGCTTTACTATTCTTCAAAATTAATAACACTTTATCCTAACCAAAAACCCCAATGGAAAAAAATCAGAGAAATTAAAACAAGAGTTTTTACACACTATTATGAGGATCAATAATTTCAAGCCCAAGGCCCTCTTGAGGAAATTCTTTCTGGTTTGCTAAATAAAGCTGTAGGAGATCACTGCCATCATGAGGCCAGTTACAGGAAATAATGATCTCTAAAATGTCACGGTTTCACACTCTATGGGGGCTTATAGATCTAACTTAATACAGCATGTTCTGGCCAGATTATAGAACAAGTTGGCTCCAAGTATTTTACACATCTGTAAGCACAGAAGCTATTGCATCTAACTATGGGCTAAGTTTCTAGGTAATCATTGAAATTAGGCAAATGGTATGGTAATCCAAGGTAGGCAGTGAGGTTAGGGCCTCTACAATAAAGGTTGCTAGATAAGGTATAACCATGAACATGGATAAAATTTCTGAATTTGAACAAAGAAACAAAACCCAGGACAGACTCAACTCAGACAAGTAAAACTGCTAGATGGCCACAAGTTCTTCAAAGATTTCCACAGAACTCATTGCCCTAGCAGAAATACATAAATCTCAACTGATACATTTTTATCCAAGTTGTAGCTGGGAGCTTCATTAATTGGAAAACAGTTCAATGATATTACATTCTTCACAGGTACCACTCTAATTTCACTATTTGCATACTGATGTACAGTTACACTGAAATTGCATATGCTGAGGAATACCACTAAATTAGCTCCCAGGAAAATTACTCAAACTTTCTAAGTAATTTTCACTTTTTCTCTTGGGGGTAGATTTCAACTTTTAATTTAATATTTCCTTAGTTGTTTGTTGTGTATTTTGAGAAGGCAAATCCACTGGCACTTGGGGAGGTTTAGAACATAAATCAAAATTAGAAGTAATGGAAACACACAGCTAAAAGTTGGACTTGAATCACAAATTCACAACTAGAGATTTCATTTACATATCTTAGAAAGGTAAATAGATATGTTAAACCTTTAACCAAACAGCAAAAATATGTGCCAGATTTTAATGTTCACAATTTAAAATTTATCACATAAACAGTATTCATAAACATATTCTTTAATTGCAAAATTGTTATTCTTAAAACATTTCTTTCCAATGCATTTAAAATTTCATATTTTTTAAAAAAATTTATTTATTTATTATAAAGATGTGGGGTACAATTCAGGGTTAGGTATACAAACATTGATCATACAGTTACCCTTGTTGATGAGGTATGCCCATCCCTCCCCTAGCAGTTTCCCTCAACTGCCAGTCCCACCCCCCTTTCCCCTGATAGTTTTCCGCTAACATGAATAGACACTCCTCAAAAGAAAATATACGGGCAGCCAACAGACACATATGTTTTTGTTTTTTGTTTTTGAGTTGGGAGTCTCACTCTGTTGCCCAGACTGGAGTGCAGTGGCAGGCTCCCGGCTGCCAGTCTTGACCTGCTGGGCTCTGGCTATCCTTCTGCCTCAGCCTTCCAAGTAGCTGGAACTACAGGTGTGTGCTACCACACCCGGCTAATTTTTGATTTATTGCAGAGATGAGGTCTCACCAAGTTGCCTGGGTGGGTCTCGAACCCGCGGGCTTGGGCAATCCACTCACCTCAGCCTCCCAAAGCTCTGGGACTACAGGCTGAGCCACTGAACCTGGCTACGTATGTGTTTTAAGGGGAAAAAATGCCACTCCATTTAAAAATGTACTACTAAACTTTAATGTGTGATTATATCAGTGCCACTAAATTAGAAAAAAAAACCCACCACACTGCTATATTGGATATGTAGTCATTACTACAAAAAATGACAACAGATGTCCTATATGGTCATCATATACATTCTCTTGTTCCACTTCTTAGTCATTGTCAGAACCATTTGGAGGTAAGAAAACCAATGCATCATTGAAACTATGCCCAAATGCCCTAAGACGGTATACTCCATACATCATCACATGCATTTGATTAGGAGTCAGTCCATTAAAAGTAACAGCCATATCCGAACAACATCCTTCTGCAACCTGACTGGGGTGATTTGTCATTGCTTCTTTAATCGAAAGCCCCACAGATTTGGTATTAAATACATCTTTTCTATCAGCATCTTCTGCATTTTCTGCAAACACTCCAGCATATTTCAGGCAAACTGCTAGCTGCTTATCTTCAGATATTTTCCAAATCATCCCTCCTTGTTCAGGACACTTTTCAGGGACATTGAGAAGGCTGTTAAGTCTTTTCATTGATTCTATACTTAAGACAATTCCTCCTTCCATACCCACATATTCAAGGTCTCCAGATTTTATAGTGTGGCCTAAATAGAAAGGCTGTGATGGATCCTTTTTTAACAAAAAATACTTTAGGTTTTCAATAATAGCAAACGTAGTGGGGCATGCAAGAAAGAACCAGTTGTATTGGTCTCTATACTTATCAAAAGCATATTTATAAGCTTTTCTCATCATCAACCACATATCATTTGTTTCCATATTAATTGACTCAAACACCTTAACATTTTCAGAACTGAAGAACTCTGCTTTGTCACAGTGTTTGGTCCAAGTCTCCTTTACTGCAGCCCAAAGACTCACATCTTTAGGTTTTACAAGGATAATACAGTATACGCGAAAGTTCTTACTGAGCTCCATACGTTCATCCTCCGAAATTTTCAAGATATCTTCTTTGTTAGGAGCTTGTAGGTGATGATGCTCATGGTGGTGCATTCTATTTCCATGACCAACCCTAATGTGTCCTAGCATAGTGATCAAAGCACAGAAAATGCTTCCAAGCATCACACCCTTCAAAAATGAACTGCTTTCAGAAAGCATTTTTCCTATAAAGAAGAAAAAAGACCCTTAAAATACTTAAAAGAATTAGTCTAGTAATTTGATTTGGTATTCCTTACTTACATTTTGCTCTTGGCGTTAAAAAAAGGTTCCCAAGCTTGAAATAAAGTTAGTTGCATAGAGTACCAAATACACTCATAATCTTTAGCTTCCAATGGCATCTGATTACTGTTTGGTATAAACTGGAACTTTGCAACAGCTTCTCTATGACTAAATTGCTATGGAGAGGCTATTTCTTCATTTCATCTATGGGAATTTAATTAACCGAGTATTAAATAAAAGCATGGACCCTAGAAACCAATGTTATAGAGGTTGTCCATTCATCATTCACTTTAAAGAATTTCGTAACAAGCTTGCATTGTATTATTTAAATACCTCTTCAGATATACATATATACTTTTACACCAAGCCTTAGATTGGATAAAACCATCTACAATTGACAAATCATCAATGGTATCTGTGCTGGCATTTTTGTCCTCTACATAGTGCTTTAAGTAAATAACTGATGGCTGCTTTTCTTAGGTGTTTTGAGTATATCAAGCTTTTTTTTAAAGAATAGTATAATATATGTTAATATTTACCTTTTTGTTCCTAAGTTTCCAATATAGTATCCCAACCATTGATGTAATAAAAGCCCATAATACAAATAGTTAAGTTTTTTTTTTTTTTTGAGTTGGAGTCTCAGTCGCCCAGACTGGAGTGCAGTGGCCGCTTCCGGCCACTGCAGCCTCGACCTGCTGGGCTCCGACGATCCTTCTGCCTCAGCCTTCCAAGTAGCTGAAACAACAGGCGCGCACTACCACGCATGGCTAATTTTTTATTTATTGTAGAGATGAGGTCTCGCCAAGTTGCCCAGGTGGGTCTCGAACCCGCGGGCTCAGGCAATCCATTCACCTCAGCCTCTCAAAGCGCGGGATTACAGGCTGAGCCACCGAGCCCGGCTAATAGTTAATTTTTTTTAGATTAAAAAGGATAAAACATATCTGGGGACCATTAATGATATTTTTACTTCCTCAAAACGCATTTTCTTTTTCTTGGGAAAGTAAAAAGGGCAAAGTCTACACTTTTCTTTTTTTTTTTAGTACACTTTTATTTCAATTAGAAATTAAGTAGGCTGGATACAGTGGCTCACACCTATAATCCCAGCACTTTGGGAGGCTGAGGCAGCAGGATTGCTTGAGGCCAGGAATTTGAGACAACCTGAGCAACACAGCAAGATCCTGTCTCTACAATTTTTTTTTTAAATAAAAAGAGCTGGGCGTGGTAGCATGCCCCTGTAGTCCCAGCTACTCGGGAGGACTGCTTGAACCCAGGAGTCCAAGGCTGCAGTGAGCTATGAGTGTGCCACTGCATTCCAGCCTGGGAAACAGAGAGTCTGTCTCAAAAATAAAAATAAAATAAAACCCAATATTAAGTACAACTGCTGAAAAAATTGTATACTAACTGCTTATGTTAGTAAAGGCTGAAATTTTCCCCTATCTCAACTAAGTAAGTTCTACTGAACTACTCAGATTTTCCCTTTGTCTCTTAAAGTTGAAAAGGACCTTAGAAATTACCCAATGTCACTTCTCTCATTTTACAGATAGGGAAATGGAAGTCCACCCAGGTTAAGTAATGGACCCAGATGCACAGCTAGTTAGTGGTAGAAGGACTAGAAACCACATCTTATGACATTAGTTTAATGTTTTTTCCATTACAGATTAATAATCCCCATAGTGCTTCTACCACATTATTTAGAGTTTAATAAATGAGTTACTGAATAGCCTTATTTTCCTACAAATGCAAAAGAAAAAAACGGTGGGATCTGTTGACCGTAAGTGACATCTTGCACCCATTATCACTATATTGCTACAAGAGCACCATTCCCATAGTTTTCTTCGAAAAGAAATGGATTTTGTCCTCTACCAGGAAAAGGAGCGGAATAGATTGACAAGTGTAATTCCTGAATTGGGGGTAGAGAAAGAGGCTGGACAGTTTTCCTGTGTCACTCATAGAACTTCACCAACAAACACAGCTCCCAGAAGGAAACAAGAAGTGACAGAAAACAAGCTCTGCTTAATATTAGAACAGTCAGATGCACTCTAAAATTAACTTAGATTAGATTTTGGCATTTTGTATTACATGATTTTCATTATTTTTGACAAATGTGTAATTCACACATCTCTTTGATCGATTATAGCCTATGTATATGTCAGAATTCTTCTTGATGGAGATTATTACTCTTGACTGCAAAAATATTCATCAAAACTCAAGTCTACAAATTTAAATAAAATCGCTTGCACAAATTATTCTAAGGAGATACCCCCCCCCCATGAGGGAGGACAAAAAAATGTGCACGATAGGATATTTTGTGCAGAGAAGACGGAAACTTAAAAAACTTAAAACTACACACGAGCACAAATAACTACCAAGTGCTTTTTGAGAGAAACCTTTTTAGAAGATGAAAGTGGCTGGGGTGGAGTACGGAAAAGGGAGGTTGACGAAATAGAGAAGAGAAGCGAGGGGGAGGACATGGTCACTTCAAGACCCCATTGAGGGGTCAAAGGAGCGCCACCAGGGAGGCAGCTCTCGTCTTCCGCGTTCACACTCCTCCCTCCGCACCTGCCCGGGCATCCAGCGTTGAGCACGCTGGGAACGGGCTAGGGCACAGGCCTTCCCCAAGGGATGGGTGGGGGGTTGGGCCGCTCCGGGATGCGCTCGGGGCGGGGGCCGAGGCCCCGGCACTCACCCGCATCTAGAACGGCTCGGGGGCAGGAAAGCGCAGCCACACACGGCTTTCCTCTCACGTTTGCGCGCCACTCGGTTGCGCTCTTGGCCGGGCTGCTCTATATGCAGGCGGTGTCCTCTCGTTGGTCTCGCTAAAGGTGGGAAGGGCCAGGAAGCTGACGCCTCGAAAGCGGAGGTAGCGGGGCGGGGTAACCGGCCCAGGGCTGGGCAGAGCAGTCTTTTCACTCGCCCGTGCAGACGTCAGCAGGGCCCGTGCCGCACGCAGCGTGCCCTTTCTCCCCGCCCCTTCGCCGACTTCAGAGAAGTGCATCCGGCTGGCGTGACCTGCACGCTCACCTATACTCAATGGGACGCCTAGAGAGGCGTGCGTGCATAGCACTCCTTGATACCTCCCATCTTCCCACCTTCCGGGCGTGGAAACTGAGAAAGAAAGAACCTTTCTGTGTAGCTTGTGTCAGATCTCTCTCATATCCCTGCGTTTTTGCATTCTTATGTTGGCACTTATGTGTGTTCCACCCACTGAAATAGTCATGTAATTATGAAGTCAAGGATTCGCTATGGTTACTCAAGTGAGATCTGAAGCCCTACTGCCTTGAATCCAATCCTACTTTCACCACATCCGAGGGAAATTACTTCACCTCACTTTTTTGTAAAACATATAAAATATCACCATGCGCAGTGGCTCACGCCTGTAAACCCAGCACTTTGAGAGGCAGAGGCGAGAGGATTGCCTGAGCCCGGGGTTTGAGACCAGCCTGGGCAACTTGGCAAGACCTCGTCTCTACAATAAACTAAAAAAATTATCCAGGTGGTGCGGTGCATGCTTGGTTCCAGCTACTTGGAAGGTTGAGGGGAAAGGATCGCCGGAACTCGGCAGGTCGAGGCTGCGGTAGCCGTGAACGTGCCACTGCACTCCAGCTGGGCCACAGAGTGAGACTCCTACTCAAAACAAACAAACAAAAAATTAAACAAAACAAAAAAAATCACAGTAGTGCCTGTTTCATAGGAAACTAAATGAGATAGTGCACACAACTCCCTTTGCAAAAGATCGAGCATGCAGTAAGCATTTACTAAATGTTGGCTGTTATTTACCCCTGAAATTCTAGTACTTAACATAGTGCCAGCATGCAGTAAATATTTGTGGAATTAATGAATATTAGAGCTGCAGAAGAGGAACCAGGCCTAGAAAGGATAAGGAACATTTGAAAGGCTACATAGCAAATTAGCAGCAAAAGTGGGACTAGAAACCAGCTCTTCTAATTACAAGTGCAGAGCTCTCTTTCTAGTACATATGTGTTGTCTTTTACAATTCATATTTGTGGCAGAAGGATTTTTGCTAAAAATCACAAAGTTTTACAAATATTTAAGATGTACTATCACTGGGTTCCGTTCAAATAACATTGAGTGGTGACGTACTCTGACCTGAGTTCCTAAAGAAATACATTGGAATGTTGGTAGTGGCCCAGTGTAAATACACTGCCAATTTCAGTGAACAATGAACAAATTGTAGGCAACTACTATCCTGGCAGCACTACCCTAAATTCTGGAGATGTACTGGTGAACACAATAAATAAGTCTGTTGCTTTCATGGAGCTCTCAGTTTAGTAGGAAAGACAAACAATTTGTAATTGGTTAGGCCTGGTGACACCTGTAATCCTATCATTTGGGAGGTTGAGGGGCAGGATACTTGATGCTAGGAGTTTGAGACAAGCTTGGGCAATGTAGCAAGACCCCATTTCTATAAAAACAAACAACTAGCTGGGCATGGGAGCTTGCCCCTGTAGTCCTAACTATTCAGGAGGTTGAGTTGGGAGGATTACTTGAGTTTAGGAGTTGGAGGTTACAGTTAGCTATGATTGTGCCACTGCACATACCGGCCTGGGCAACAGAGTGAGGTTCTGGCTCTAAAAACAAAACAAGAGCAAAAAACCCCTATTCATTACAAATAATTATAATGGTGGCATATTCTCTAAGGGAATACAGAAACACATTTTAGAACTGGGAAATAAGACTACAGAATATCTCTATTTTGTTAAGTAATATATATTGTTTAGTGTCACATATATAAATATATATTATGCATATACATATATACATATATAGTTAAGTGAAACAAATTGCAGAATAATCTATATGATTATGTTTTGGTGGAAATAAGCATATGTATGTGCACATAGGTTTGATCTATTTGTATGAGCAAGGAGAGTTGTGGAAGGCTACTCAGCAGGCTGTTAATATTGACTGAATCAGGAGGTTGATGTGAAGATGATTAGCTTTATCCTTATATTGTGTTATTTCACTGGTTATGAAAAAGTATTTATTACTTTTGAATTTGAAGAGCAGCAAATAAAGGGATCTTTAAAATTATAAGGACAAAAGAAAAAGAGAAGATAGCAATAAAAATACATTTTACATAATGTAGAGAACCAGTCTCTCCTTACAAAAAGAGATCAAGGAAAGAAAGATAGAAATCACACTCAGAAAAATGATTCTTCTAAAAAAAGGGGTAACTATGTGAAATGATAAATGTTAATTAGTTTGATTGTGATAATCATTTCACAATGTATATGTATATCAAATCATCACATTGTAGACCTTAACTATATATAGTTTTTATTTGTCAAACATATGTCAATAAAGCTGGGAAGAATAAAAAAATGATTCTTTTTTTAGTACAGAAAGGTACCCTGTACCAAACTGGAAGTACTAATGATAAAAGATGCTTGGAAACAGAATAAGCCATGGGATTTTCAACACCAAAAGCACTGTTAATGAGAGATTATCTAAGAACTCAGTTTTTTTTTTTTACTTAAAAAAGCAGATCTTATATACTTAGCATTTGAAATTAAGTTTGTGAGGTGATTTACTTATAGTTAGGTGATTGCATTTTTTATTTTGAGTCAGGGTCTCACTCTATTGCCCAGGCTGGAGTGCAGTGGCACACAGGGATCACCACAGCCTCAACTTATTGTGCTCAGGCCATCTTTCCACCTCAGCCTCCTGAGTTGCTGGGACTACAGACATGCATCACCACATCCGGCTAATTTTTAAAATTTTTTTTTGTAGAGATGAGGTCTCACTATGTTGCCCAGGCTGATCTTGAAGTCCTGGACTCAAGCAATCACCTCACATAGACCTCCTAAAATGCTGGGATTAGGTATGAGCCACCGTGCCCGGCCTGCATTTTTTTTTTAAGAGACCGTGTCTCTCTCTGTCACTTAGGTTGGAGTGCAGTAGCATGATCAGATTTATCTGCAGACTTGAACTCCTGGACTCAAGTAATCTTCCTACTTTAGCCTCCCAAGTAGCTGAGGCTAAAGGCATGAACCACCATGCCTAGATAATATTTAAATTTTTGTAGACACGGGATGTTGCTTTGTTGCCAGGCTGGTCTTGAACTCCTGACTTCAAGTAATCCTCCTGCCTCAGCCTCCCAGAGTGCTGGGATTACAGGCATGGCAACTGAATTTAAAAACAAACAACAATAACAACAAACATTCCATACTGTGACTTTTATTGTATGTATGTATGAGTCGGAGTCTCACTCTGTCACTCAGGCTGCAGTGGCACCATCATGGCTTGCTGCAGCCTCCACCTCCTCAGTTTAGACAATCCTTCCACTTCAGCCTTCCTAGTAGCTGGAACTTCAGGCATGCACCACCACACCTGGCTAAATTTTTAATTTATTGTAGAGACGAGGTCTCACCAAGTTGCCCAGGCTGGTGTGGATCCCCTGGGTTCAGGCAATCTTCTCACCTCTTCCTCCTTATGTATTGGAATTACATGCATGAGCTACTGCACCTGGCCCCTAATTTTAAAAATACGTGCAATTTTTGTATATTAAAATTAAGAGTGTTCATACTCATTGGTTCAGCAAATTCTTTGAATAATGCCTCCCACAAAAATTAAAGCACTAGAATGTAAGGGCAAACGCATTATTGTTTATAATAGCAAAACTGGGAAATAGTCACTAAGAAGAAAATGATTGAATTCATTATTGTAAATCCATATAATGGAATATTAAGCACAAAACAGTTTATTTCACCAGCCTGCACTAAACCCTTTCCAAAAACAGTAAGCTGCACCTTTTGGGAGAGGATTGCTTTTGAATTTGGCAACTGTCATGTACACAGCAGGTAAGGCAAGAATGCATTCAAAATTGACAACACTGCATTTTTGGTAAGGCACTTCTGTCAAGTGCATGCATTATTCAGCATGAGAGGTCATTACTTTCCAGTAATTGGGGATTCATTTGCACGTGAGCACTCAAAGCTGTCTAAAAACCTTTGGGAAATTAACATGGCTTTCCATAACAGTTCACTAGGATAATAAATGGTGAAGAAAATCTAAGGTGGATTGTTTTCTGCATGACATCTCTTTGGAGGGTTAAAAATTGTCTTCTGTGATTATCTAGATAAAATATCTATAATATATGTACCTCTTCTGCCCAGAGTTTCTCAACTGTTCATCTTCAATAAACAAACTCTCTTGCCTGAACAAATTTATTGTCTCCATTTAAGTATAATGCGATTTCTAAATGAATCTCATTTGTTCAAGCATATTCATGCATGCAATCTTATTTCAAAAATGTCTTTCTAGACCAAGCGTGGTGGCTCACACCTGTAATCCCAGCACTTTAGGAAGCAGAAGTGAGAGGATTGCCTGAGTCCAGGAAGTTGAGGCTGCAGTGAGCCATGATGGTTGCTATATGGTGATCTAATTTTCTGAAGCACATTAATAAAAGGAAGTTTAGTGTAGTAATTAAGAGGTCAGGCTCTGGGGTGGGAAAGACTTGGTTTCTAGATCTGGTTCTGCCACTTCCTAGATGTGTGACTTGGGACAAGTCAGTTTATTTATCTCAGCCTTAGCATCCTCATCTATAAAATGAAGCTAATAATAATACCTATCTTATAAAATTTTTGTGAGGGTAATAAGTTAAGGTATTGGAAGGTTTAGAACAGTGTCTAGCACAACAGTAGATGCTCAACAAATGCTAGCTATTATTTATTTTTTTTGAGTTGGAGTCTCGCTCTGTCGCCCAGACTGAAGTGCAGTGGCCGCTTCCGGCCACCACAGCCTCAACCTGCTGGGCTCCGGTGATCCTTCCGTCTCAGCCTTCCAAGTAGCTAGAACTACAGGCGTGCACTACCACACCCGGCTAATTTTTTGGTTTATTGTAGAGA